TTGCGCGGCAGGGAGCACTTGCTGCAGTGTTGTCCCAGCCACCAGGGCCCAGAAAGGGGATAAGGGGTGGGAGAGTTAAATGAGATGCACTGGGAAGCCACGTCCCAAATCAAACCCACCTGCAGGCTGCCCCTTGCCGAGCTTGCCCAGTGCGTTTCGCTGCCCTTGGGGCTGGCCACTGACGGTTTGCTGGATCTGGAGTGAGCCAGCCCAGCCTGTGCACCTGGTTCTTACTACATTTCAACTGTAGAGCTGCAGCGGGGGTAGCCCCTGGAGGCTTCTAACCCTATTGACTAATTGTGTGGTACAAGATTAGCTGATTCTTAACAGCCCTATTTTCTAGTAGTAACTGTACAATGAGAACAGTATCAGTTATATATTAATATATCATAAAATGAAATGGAATGAACAGTTTTACAACATGATAATTCTACAGGGTTCTGTCAAGATTCTTTGTGAAGAAATTTCTTATTTTCTCATTTGGACAGTCTTGTGTTAAATCTGCTCTGTTCCTGATCCTGATAAGGTTAGACAAGGAAATTCATTCTATACTTCAGTATCTCCATCTGGAATATGGGGATAATACTGACATCTCACAGTGCAGTATGAGGATTAATTAATAAGTGCAAGGTGCTTAGATATTATAACATTAAAATGACAACTAGAGTGGACAAACTGACTTTTCTGTTAAATACTAATCCTTAAACAATTGAGAGAAACTTTTCATATAAAAGCTTGTTTCTAGATTTATAATGTATGTAATCCTCTAAGTAATCTTTGAGTCAGAGTGGATCATTATGGCTTGCCATTTTAAAATTTTATTTATCCTTCCTATGTGCTAAAAAACAGGCTATATAAATTCTTAAATAGAAGAAAAAATATACATTTCTGCTTGGAGAAACGTTTGTAAAATAGGCTAGATGTACTAAACAATGTTTGAACAAACTCTCAATTTATGAAATAAAGTGACTTGTTACGAACCAACAAAACTTTCCATTCATCATAAACCTAACTTGTTCCGGGACACAAATTAACCAGAAATAATAATAATAATTATGGCTCGCCAAGCAGCGGCGAGCTCTGCTCGCCACCTGCACGATTTCACGTGGTTCTGCACATGTGCAGATTGCTCTGCGCTGGCTCTTCCAGGTTGTAAGCTACTTGCCACAGATGAGTAGATTACATTATTTGTTGAGCCCTGATAATAATAAATAATAATAATAATAATAATCATCATCATGTAAGCCAGTACATTTTATTGTATTGGTTTAGTGTTAGAAAAAAAAACCAGAAGAGGTCATGAAAATTACAGTATTTTTCAAGTTGAGAACTTTCTGTACTAATGTCATGCAATTAAAGTATGTCAAATTTGTTTTATATACTCTCAATAATCTTGTCACAGTAGTACTGTATACTTTTAATTAATCAGAGAGAATACATGTTTTAAATTATGTCTTTCTACAAAGGCTGCCTACCAGTGCCACTTTATTACTGGCGCACAATTTGAAAAAAAAATTAACCCCCCCCCCACAAAAACCCCAAACCTTCAGCCATTTAAAACTCCTACTTTGTTTATCCCTAAAATTCATACTTTACATTTTCAATTATCTTTTGGAACAATGACGAACCCGGAAGAGATAAAGAAAAGAGACTTTTGTGAATGCTGGGTATTTTATTTCCTACCAGCTATATACAGATCTTGGATTTCAACTGGAACACTGCAAACCCAACAGACACTCTATTTAGCACTTTTTCTGTTCTCTTACTATGAAAACACAGGAGATGTTACCATATATTAAAACTCTCCTCTCCAGATTTTTTTAACAAAAAATTGTATACAGTATGAACTTTAAAAGAAAATCAATATTATCTCGGTACCAGATCCTACTTCCTACCTCCCTTGTGCTACAGTATGTGAACTATTCAGTTTTGTAAGAGTTCACATCTACCTTGTTAACATACACATGCGATGCTGCTGAATAGCAGGCTCAATTCTTGAAGACACTAAGAACATTCAACACCCCATAGAAGTGGAGGGCTTAGCACTTTGCAGCAACAGACCCATCATGGTGAAGAGTATTTTGACAAAGGGTCTGGATCCGCTCCAACTGACTCCAGTGGGAGTAGGCCCTAACCCCATGCTCTACTAACCTGGTTGCGTGTTATCTTAAGTCTCCTGGATCCCAGCCCAGTGCAACCCAAAGGATGCTCTCCTGTCTACTGACCGACGCTCTACACTTCACGGAGCAACAATGGCAACGCGAGCTGCTATCA